CCACCATGCCCAGGGACGGGGCTCACAGGACACTGCAGAGCAGGGCCGTGCCAGCCTGGCAGGGGACGAGGACACTGCGCAGCCCCCAGCCCTCCAGCCTCCTCCACACTGAGCGCTGACCACCCCACCCAGCACCCAAACTCTGACTGATCCACACCTGCACCCCACGCACTGAGGCCATGCACTCTGCAGACTGCCCCCCACAATCACCCAGGCACCGCCCCTGAGCCCCCCCCATTTGCACCCTCTTCACACCCGTCCACCCCCCCTCTCCCTGCTGTGCAGGCTGCAGGCGGGCTGTGCAGGCTGCAGCCGCCCTGGGGGCAGGGCCAGGGGAGGGTGCTCATCCAAGAGGGGTTCCCTCCCAAGGGGGTGCCAGGGGAGGTGAGAGCCAGCAGGGCTTTAGGGTGCAGGACAGATTGGATTGCATGGCCAGGTTTGGGTGCAGGAGGGTTTGGGGTGCAGGACCCAGTCAGGCTTTGGGCACAGCTGGAGTGCAGGGCCCAGGCGGGGTGCTGGGCAGGGTGCTGGCAGGGTGAGGCTGGGCTGTGTGTCACCCCCAGTACCCAGGGGGTGCACAGGGCCCTGCTGTGGAGATCACAAGCAGCTGGGAAAAGGGGGCTTACCCCTGGGGACCTGCACACACAGTGGCATCATGTCCCTCCCACCCTGCAGCCACCTTGGGGTGTTCCCAAGCTCCTCGGAACCAGGGGGAGGGGGCAGACACAACCTGGAGCTGTAGTTCATCCTGAGCACATCACGCCTCTGGACTGGCTCTGTCATCCTCCCAGCCCATCCATCCTTCGAGCTTGCACCTAGGGCTGGTTTGCATCACCCAAGGGCTGCAAAGCCCCAGCTTTTCCTACCCCAGGGCTGGGCTTTCACAGTCCAGTTCAGGCTGGTGGAGGCAGCACCGGGCGCATGGGGCCCTGCCTGTGGACTCTGCTCTGCTGTAAAGGCTGAAGCTGCAAGCAGGGCATAACCAGCCAGCAGCAGGAAACCAGCCCAGGCACCCAGCTTAATCCCGGGGGTCAAAAGGCAAAGTTTTCTTGCCCTGAGAACCGCTGCTGGCTGGTTGAGCAGCATGAGCAATACGCCACAAGGGACAGTTAAGTGGCAAGCGCTGCTGGGAGCAACCCCCTGCAGCTGAAAGGGGGTTCACTGGTTTGGGGAACTGAGTTGGGCTGCACCCCCAGCCTGGGGCATCCTGGTGTGCCAGAGCCAGGGCATTGGTACATCTGGTGCCATGGGTGTCAAGGGGCCACAGGCACAGATAGGACAGGGAGGAGGGGGAGAGCCAGCCCTTCCCAAGCGCAGTCCCAGCAGGTGAGCAGAGACCAGGGCAACAGCCCCTTGGGGCTGGGCAAAGCCCCGAGCCCTTCCCCAGCTGCAGCCACAGGGTGATAGTGGGCTTTAGGGGCACCCCCATCCCCAGCTGCTGTGGCACCAGGTGGCCATGCCCTCCCTGGGCACAGTCCCCAGGGCAGCCAGGGAAGGTGGGCTGGCAGCTCCCAGGCAAATCCTGGCAGGAAAGGAAACCCCTGGAAAGGGCAAAGGTGTTTGAAGGTATTTATAGCTCACTCCCAAAGAGGGAAATGAGGCTTTTGCTGGGAGTGTGGAAGCACAGGTCCTGCCAGTCCATATAAGCTTCAGAAATGAGTAGCAAAGTGGCTCGCAAGCTGCCTTGGGGACACAGCCCTGGTCCCCCCTGGGGTGTCCCCATGCTGTGGGGTCAGGCCACGGAGTGCCACATGGGCATCTCCGTCTCACTCGGCCTCCTGGCCAGCTGAAGGTTTGGGGAGCAGGTGCATCCCTTCCCCTGGGGCAGCAGCTTCCTCCTCCGGGGCATGGCTGCCCTCCTCCTCCTCCTCTTTCTGTTTCTCCTCCTCTTCCTCACTCCCCGGGCAGAGGAAGCAGCAGAGGAAGGTGTTGCAGGAGGATGGCAGCAACCTCCTCAGCCCAGCGGGGAGCCCATACTTCTGGGTAGCTTCACTCCTCTCTCCCCAGGGGTGCCGAACACCTGCCCCAGCTTTCTGCAGTGCCAGGTAGGAGAGCAGCCCTCGCTCCTCCAGGGTTCCTGCAGCAGGATGGGGGGCAGTGAGGTGGAGCCCCTTCCTCTGGTTGCACCCTCCCAGCCCGTGCCAGCCCTGCAACCCCCAGCAGGACTGCCTGGAGGTGGTTCGGGGATGGTCCCACAGCCAGATCCAGGCCCCAGAGCAAGGGCTTGCAGACACACCATCTCACCTGAGACTGTGTTCTCCATGAAAAATGACAAGAAGCCAGTTAAGAAGACAGGCACCATGAGCAGCGAGAGGAAAAGGAGGTCCAGGGGCACCCATCCTGTAGGGACAGTGACAGAATGACCCAGGACATCCCAGCCCAGCAGTGGCGAAGGGGCAGGAGATGCCACAGCAGATGGTTGGAGAGGCACAACACACAGGCAGCTGCCTGCTGCTGCCTGCTACTGTGAGCCGCCCCAGCCTCCCAGAACATCAGGGATGCGTGGTCACCATGCCCCAGGGCCCGAGGCTTTGCCTTGCCCAGGGACTGTCCCCATTACCTGTGGCCAGGTGAGCTGGAGCTGCACCAAGCCAGCGTGGCACCAGCAGTGCCATGAACATGGTAAAGCCGACAATGAAGATATTCCTTCCCGAGTCAATGTCTGCGTACTGGAAGTAGGAGATCCCGGTGCCCACAGCCACGGCATAGGTGATGCAGAGCACCCCTCCTGCAAGGTGCAGGGGTCAGGCAGCACCAGGCAGGCTGCGGGGAGCGCAGGGAAGGGCAGGGTACCCACCATGAACTGCCAGCGGGATGTGGGTGAGGAGCCCTGCCAGCCTTGGGGACATGCCCAGCACCACGCATGCCAGCGCGCTTGCTTGCACCGAGATGCGAGAGCCAGCCTAGCAGAAAGGAGGATAAGAAAGTGAGGATGGGGAGCATCAACCAGTGGCTCTGTCCCCTCCATGTTGCCCTACAGACCTGCCTTTCCCAGCACTGGCTCAGAGGCAGCCTGGGCGCTACAGGTCCACCACACCTCCTGCTCCATTGCCCCCCATCCCTTGCTGCCCTTCTTCCCCCCACCCCGAGCATACCTGTGTGAGGCCAGTGGCACAAGCGTTGGCGATGCTGGCGGCAGTGCCCCCCGGGGTGCCCAGCAGCCCTGCCAGGAGGCTGCCCAGCCCTTCCATGCAGAGACCCCGGTTGCAGGCATGGGAGGGCAGCCGGGGGGCTCGCAGCAGCCTCCCGCAGAGCACGTAGCAACCCACCGAGTTCATGCTGCAACCGATGGCCATAGCGATGCCCACTGCCAGTGCCCGGGCGGTAAGCAGTGGCCACCCCAACTCGCCTGCAGTGAAGGGAGAGGGGACAAGTGACAGTGGCCCTTGCTGAGGGCAGATGGCTGCAGACAGCCGGCTGCAGCCCGCCCTGCCGCACCCCACCTGCATAGGGGATGCGGAGCCAAGGGGCATGGAAGGTGCTGTTGGCCCAGGACAGCTGTGCCTGGTCCACTGATTCCCATGGGACATGGAGGTGGCTGAGGATGGCACAGACAATGCAGACACCAGAGAATGGGAGCAGGACCTGCAAGGCAGCAAGGGGAACCTCAGCTAGGAATTCTCCTCCCCTGGCCAGGACCCCATGTACTACACCCCAAACAACAGGCCCTTGTCCTGTCACCTCTCCCAGGGAGCCATGACACATCCCCTCTTAACCCTGCAGGGATCATCCCAGGCTCTGCTTCTCCAGCATCCTTGAGCAGAGTCCTCTACGCTCCCCCAGCAGCACCCACACCCCAGGAGCTGCACCAGGACTTCCCCCTGCCTCCGCTCCCAGCACCCAGTCCTGCTCCAGAGCCACAGGGTCCCCCCCCAAAGAGCCCGGCTTGGAGCGCAAGCTGGGGGGCAGACAAGCCACCATACCGAGAACGTGCGCAGAGTGGGGACAGACGGCTCTGCAGAGCTCCCCCGAGCCTGGGGCCAGGCACAGAAGGGCAAGCGGCAGGACCCCAGGTGCTGGGAGAAGGCGACAGCAAGTAGCATGAGCCTAGGAGAGGGAGCACAGGTCACCATGCAGCATCATGGTGACAGAGCCCCAAACACATGCCGCGCACCATGGGGATGCTCCCTTCCCATCCCCATGGTGAAGCGAAGCCCTGTGGGCTACACACCAGCACAGCCCCTGGGCTCACATACAGCAGCGCTACCCCCCAGTTAGTGGAGCAGAAGAAAGCAGCCTCCTTGTATGCAGACAGCCCAATGATGGAGAGGCTGGGGGCCAGGACCATGGGCCCACAGCGCTGGGCTGCCCATCCACACACGCCAGACACTCCCAGCACCAGCTGAACCAGTCCAGAGACCAGCACAGCTCCAGAGACCTGCGGGAGGAAAGGAGGGGACCCATGGGTCAGGGCACACAGAGGGCAGCACAACACCCATCCTTGGTCACAATCCCACCTGTCGCAGTGGCATCCCTTGTTCCTGATGCTCCAACCCTGCTCTGCTCACCCCACACCCAGGGGAACATATGCATGCACTGCCTTTGCACATCCCCTTGTGTCCCCCCTATTCATGGCAACCCCCAGGAGGGCTGGGGGGTGCACATAGCTACTGGGGTGCTGGTGCAGCAGGAAGATGGGGACCCCCAGCCTAGTGCAGGAGCACCCACCTCTCGCAGCGAGATAGTCCGGCTCCCCGCAATGGCGCAGTGCGGTGCAGGGCACACGCTGGCCACGACCGTGCCTGGAAGGGAATTTTGGAGGGATGCGATGCACGTGGATGCTGGGCTCCTGGAGGTGGGTCCAAGAACATGCAGTGCAGGGACTGCTGGCTGGAGAAGGCCCACTATGGCAGCATCCTGATCCCCCTGAGCCCTGACCCTGAGGAGGTGGCCCAAGGCACATTACAGGCCAATAACCTTGCAGTGTGACCCCAGATGCCCTGCAGATGTGCTCAGTGGTGAGCAGGCTGCTGTGCACCATCATCAGAGGGACCAGCAGGCAGGACCCCTTGCTACCGCTCATCCCCACCCTGGGCACCTTGTCACCACTGATCCCCTGGCAATAGCACAGCCAGGGCCCCACAGGAGGCAGGCTGCAGGGCTGTGCTCACCGTTCCTGTCTGTGCTGGCACCAAGGGACAGGTGGGAGCTCAGCACCATGGCAGGGACCAGGTACTCGAAGGATGGGATTTGAACCAGCGGCAGCCTGGGGAAGGGGACAGCAAAGGCATGTTAGGGAGGAAAGAGGGAACAAGGCTTCTCCCAAAGTGCTGGCTGCTGGAGGAGTGGGGGATAGGAAGCAGAACAGGTGGAAACCCCAAAGTGGCAGGAAGGCACCCCATATCCCACATGTGCCCTAGCCCATCCCAAGCGGCAGCACAGGCACCCGATGGCACGGAGCAGCTCTATATGATGCTGGAGCAAGACAGGGAGGAGCTAGAGGGGAAGCACAGCAGTTTTGCTAGAGAGACGTATGAGAGAGGATGCAGTGACAGCAGGGAGGGAATGGCCATGCAGAGGTGCAGGGCAAGGGGTTATCCTTGTGCCCCTTCCCACCTCCAGCAAAGCCTGCCTTCCCACAGCCTAGGAGGGGCAGAGACATGCTCCGCCATGGTGTCACCCTCCTCCTGGCAATGGCTGCATCCGCTTTGTCCCCCTTGCTCACCGGCTCCCCAGGGTGGTCTGCAGCACTGTGGAGATGCCGCAGGCAAAGCGTGCCAGCAGCTCGCTGGTGGCCTGGGCATGGGGCAGCTCCTCGGGCAGGGTGGGCAGCAGGAGGAGGTGGAAGATGCAGAGCAAGGAGGCCTGCACGGTCAGGTGCTGCATGGGGAAGAGGGGGTGGTTGTGACTCCCTGCAGCACCCAGAGCTGCAGCCCCCCCGTGCCAGGCCTCCCTGAGTGGATGCATGCCCACTGACACCCCCCAGACAGGACCCACCGCTACCCACTTCCCTCACAGCACACCCTGGCCAGAGCCCCAAGCACCCTTTGCCTGGCAGATGTGGCCCCTGCTCTGCCACCCATGAGGATCCCAGCCCTCTCCCTATCACCCTGTCTGTGGCTGCTCATCATGGTCTGCCCTTACCTGAAGGGCCAAGCAACAGCTCAGCATCCAGGAGCACATTTTCTGCAGGGAGCTGGATGAGAGCACAGGGCTCTTAGCACCAGGTGCTTCGTGGCAGTGCCCATTCATGCTGCTGCCTCCCTGCACTGCTCCCAGTTTATGGTGCAGAGGGAGTGGGCAGACTCCCACCCCCCCAAGAGCTCCTCACAGCCCACACACAGCTGAACTTCCACCTTCTGCAGGAGCTGGCCCAGGATTAGCCATTAACTTGAGTTGGTGAGTAACCTGCCCTTGCAGCCAGGAATGCAAGTATCACCCTGGGTTGTCACCACAAAGGCCAGGTGACAGCCACCCATGGCCAGGACACCAGACACTGTCACAGTGCCAGCTGCCCACACAGCCCAGGTCCCATCCCTGCCTCATGCAGTTCACAGGGCAGGTACTGTGGGGGCCACAGCACAGATACCTCTTCTTTTGTGTGCTTGGAGGAACCCCAACAACAGCATCCTCCAGCTCCAGCATGCCCTGCCTGTGCTTGTTCCTCCCCAGCATGGCATCCCCCTGCCCTCCTCTTCCAGCCCTTCCTCACCATCAGGCCCTGAGGAACCAATTAAAAGCTGCACAGACCCCTCCTGGTCCTGCCAGCCCCCTCTGTGGGCACTGTGCCCATGCCAGAAGGGTCTCTGATGGTGTTCTATCACAACCCCTACGCTCCTAGAAGGGCACTGAATCTTGCCACTGGACAAGGATGCCACGGACAAGAGCTGCCCTCATGGCTGGGAAGGCTCCCAAGGGGATGCTCATGTTTTTGTCACAGAGCAGAGGTGGCTGTGCCAGCAACCACAATGGTGACCCTGCCAAGCCCTTGCCACCCAAGTCTCACTCATTAACTGGACAGACTTTGGAGAGCAAAGAGCAGTGGAGACCACGCATTCCCCACATTCCCAAGGATGGGGAATCTTCTCTCTCCTGCTATCCCTGCCTTCCCCAGGCACCAGACCTGATGTTTCTCCTGTCCTGTCACCAGAGAGCCTGGTCCCTCCTGAGTCCTGCAGGACAGGCCGCACTGCTCCTGGGCTCACTTGCCAGCATCTAAGATCTGCCTTGCACATTGTCTCAGAGGGCAACCACAGCTGCTTCAATGAGGCTCCATGCCAGGCTAGGCATGCTGCCAGCCCAGAGCAGCTCCACAGGACAAGGCAGGTGCACAGCAAGAACTACTTTTATTGGAAGAGATTTGCATCTACAAAAGAGTGAAAAACAGGTGTAAAATCCACAGTAAAAAGAAGGGGCACAAGCTGGGCTGGTCAGCAAGACGAAGTGCCTTCTCCCTGCCCGGAGGAGCAGTCAGGCACTGTTTGCTCACAGCCACAGACAGCTGGGGTTTGGGATGGGGTCACAGAGCACCCCAGTTTCAAAGCACCCAACACAAGCAGGATAAGGAAGCTCAACCTTAATCACACCTCACCCCCTCCAAGCTCAGCAAGGCACAACCTTTCCCTGGGGCACAGCCACACTGGGGTACCCTCCTGGTGTGACCCTTGCACCTCCTGAGAAGTGGCCTGGCAGCCTCAAGGGGAAACGCTGCTATGGCCAGCGACTTTGGGCTGCTTGCTCCCGTCTCCTTTCATACCCTCTCCCCTCACCCAGACACCCCACCTCCTTCTGGAACACCCTGCCCCCCCCACTGGGGTCACTGCCCCAGCCCCTCCACATGGCACACACAGCCCCAGCATCCTACATCCCACACACCACCTCTGCCCAGCACCAAGGGCCATCCACTCACTGTAGGAAGAGGTACAACACCCTCCTTGCCCTAGCACCCCAGACCAAGGGCACCCCATTTCTACCCTCCAACTAGTAGGTTCCCACCCCAGCACCCCAACAGCAAACCAACTCTGCCCCAACCTGTCCCAGCAGCCCCCAAATTGAAGGAGCCCCCTGCCCTGGGTGGGGGGACACAAATGCTGGTTTGGAAGTAATGCCCCCCCCCAGCCCTGCACAGCCCCAGGGATCAGGGGTCCCAGAAGTGCAAGGAAGTGAGTTGTGCCACACTAGGAGGGAAGGGGAAAGGGGGTGCTTCCCTGTGCTCCTAACTGGGAAAAATGAAGCTCTTGATTCTGCTGAGATCCATGGCAGTGTGTAAGGAACACTGCCTCAGCCCCAGGGGGTCCAGCCAGTCCTTGCGGTTGGAGACTGCATCCCACGTGGGGCCTGCACTGGCTGAGCAAACATGACAGTGGAGCGCTGGAAGAACTGGGAGCATGGCGAGTCCAAAGGGGCCAGACTGGCCTGGGGCTGTGTTGTGGGCAGTGCGGTTAGATCTCTCACAGGCAGTGGGTACTCTCCGGAAGGGGCCTTGCAGGGGGCTCCTGTGTTGGGCTAGATCAGGCGCCTTTGGGTAGGACAGAGCCGTCATCACACTGCCCCACAGGTAGAGTGCAGTTGCCGTGACAGCCCCACGACGTGGCTCCTCAGCTGTCTTGTTCTCCCCCAGGCAATGGGTGCTGCTGGCTGGAGAGATGTCAGGCAGCTCGGGCTGGGGCTGGTCAGGGGCTGGCTGGGCATCCAGCTGGCAGCTGCTCTCCTCGGGGAACAGCGCTGGCCGGGGCGCGGCAGGGCTGACACTCCTCATGCACACAGACCGGTGCATCACAGTGACGGAGGCGAAGACAGCAGCGAAGCCAGTCAGGTACACCACGCCCAGGAGACAGGCCAGCTGCAGAGAAGTTGGTGGTTAGCCCAGACCCCCAGTAGCCCCCCACAGCCTGCTGTGACCCATCATAGCCACACATCAACCCAGCAGCTGTGATGGCAAACGACACCACCAGCACTGGGGCTGGATGCCGGGGAGCAGGCAGCCGCACTGCTAATAGCGCGTGGCATACAGCCTGTTCAAAGCAGGGCCTAAATACCACAGATCAAAGTGACCCAGCTAAAACCTAACAGTTCCTGCTTAAATCACCAGCCAGCACCCCAGTTCCCTCCATGCCACCATCACGACCTTGCACCATGACTTGTGGGGCTACAGTCCAGCCCAGGGCACAGACTAACCCAGCTCCAGGCTGCAGTGCCTCAGGCAGCACAGCTGCAAGTCAGCATCTTCTGGCTTCTGACAGCTTCCCTTGTCAACAAGGAACAAACCAAGCTGCTGCTCCCCACAGAAAAGAGAGTCCAGCTCCAAACCCATGGACAGCTGGGCCTCACGTTCTTGCAAGTAGCTGCTGCCCCATGCCCTTACCTTCACCACTTGTTGGTAGAACTGGCCCAGCATGTGCTGCCAAATGGACTGCTCCATGAGGACACATAGATCCGTGTAGGTGAACCAGCCACGCCACGTGCCCTGCTTTTCTGCCACACTGCAGGAAAAAAAGGGAATGGTGGATGTGGCATGGACCTTCTCCACCAAAGAAGCTTCAGCCCAAGCAGGCTTGGGGAAGACCTGGTCAAAGTCTATGGAAAGGACCTGCAGAACCTAGCGAAGGGTCACAGGTACCCCAATTTCTTACTTCACTGCAGCAAGGCTAGCCCTGAGCAGGGGCAGAGCCAGGGCTGAAGGGTGGATGAAAAGCTCACGTCCACCCCACAGACCTACCGTCCTTCCAGCCAGCTCAGCACTTCAAACAGCTCCCGGGGATCCGTGTAGAGACTCCAGTCCTGTGGGGACAGCAGTGAAAGGTTAGCACAGTCAGGGCAGGCCACCCAGCACCCAGACACATCCTTCTCTATTCCGTCGTGGGAGTACACGGGGGAAAAACAGAAACCCAGACTCCCCTTAATGCATTCTTTCCCCTGCTCTGTGAAATAGCTGGCCGCAGTGACAGCCCCACTTACAATGGCGCTCAGGAAGTTCATCTCCAGTGTGTTCATGGTCTGTACGTCCACCTTCCCTGCTGCTCCCCACTCGTCATTGAACACCTCCTCCTCCTCACCCTCATCATACAGGTACTTACTAGCAACCATCTAAAAGCAGCACAAAGAACATGATCTCAGTCCTCCCTGCACTCTTCCAGGCCTCCTTCCAACCCAATGACCCCCTCATGCCACGCTGCTCACCATGGAGATCAGGAAGAGGTCTGAAGATGAGATCTGCTGAAGGTATTCAGGGTTCCGGTGCCGGAGTCTCTCAATGTAAACCAGTGCCAGCATCATGGAGCAGGGGGAGATGCAAGCTTCCCTGTGGGACAAGACAAGAGCCAACCCAAAGGTTATTTTCATGCTGCAAGCATCCCAGTCACCACAGCACAACTTGGCTGCTCCCTCCCCATGCAGGTAGTGGAGAGGTATGCTGGTTTTGACTGGGATAGAGTTAATTTTCTCCATAGTAGCTAGTATGGGGCTATGTTTTGGATTTGTGCTGGAAACAGTGTTGATGACACAGGGATGTTTCCCTTATTGCTGAGCAGTCCTCACACACAGTCCAGGCCTTTTCTGCTCCTCACACCACCTCAACAGCGAGCAGGCTGGGGGTGCACAAGGAGTTGGGAGGGGACACAGCTGGGACAGCTGATCCCATCTGACCAAAGAGATGTTCCTACCATATGGCATCATGCTCAGCATATAAAGCTGGGGGAATTAAAAAGAAAGGGGGGGTATGTTCAGAGTGATGACGTTTGTCTTCCTGGAGATGGCTGAACATCTGCCTGCCCATGGGAAGTAGTGAATGAATTCCTTTTTTTTTTTCTTTGCTTGTGTGTGCAGCTTTTGCTTTACCTATTAAACTGTCTTTATCTCAACCCACAATTTTTGTCACTTCTACTTTAACAATTCTCTCTGCAGTCCCCATGGTGGGGGGAGGGGGAGAGGTGAGCAAGCAGCTGTGTGGTGCTCAGTTCCTGGTTGGGATTAAACCATGACAGGAGGTTTATTAAATAGACAGCTAGATACATCCCAACCTTGCCAGCTCTGTGCCAGCTGTCCCAAGCTGCAGCAAGTGCAGGGGATGCAGGATGGAGAGCAGAAAGCCCTGGGTCCTGTTCCTGGGAACAGCCACCTCTGAACTGAGCATCCCTGCCTGCAGGTAGGCACAATGCAAAGGCTTTGCTGACAAGAGCGGAGGCAGGGCTCAGACCTGGCTGCCCAGTGAGCTGCAGATCCAACCAGTAGAGACTCCAGGTAAGAAAAGCACCTCTGCACCCCAGAAAGCAGGATCAACCTGAAGCAGACCTGGCTGTGTTAGTAAGCCACTGTGCCTGCTGGCCTTGCCACCTGCCCCCCGCTCCTCTTTGACATGAGTCAAGCCTAAACACAAAGCCAGTGCTGGCCCAAGGTACAGCAGTGAGTCATAGGTGAAACCATAGCTCCCAGTTCTAACACAGGACACAAAGGGACAGGTTTTGCTTCTTACCGAGATACGTGAGCCACATACTTCTTCTGGAGTCTGCGGATAGGGCTAGGAGCCACTTTCTGCAGCAACTCCACAGCAATATCTAGGACAGAGAAGCAGCAAAAGGGCTTAGCCCCACAGGACACTGTCCACCCCCACCCTTCCCCTTCTCCCCACAAGCCCATTGAGTCTTGACGCTTGCTCAGCCTCTCAAGTTTAAATCAAACTATGAACGTAAGACAAGCCTTATCAGAAGTCAGGGATGAGGGAGGAACAAACAAATAGTCAGGAGAGCCAGACCAAAGCAGGAAGAGGATGTGAATGTCCAAGGCCCAGTGGCAGTGCCAGATCCAGATTAGCATGTCTGCGTCATGGGGAGTTACCAGCAGTCAGCTGCACAAAGAGGCTAACACCCTCCCCTCACCCCGCAGGACCTCAGGCAGCCATTTCAGAGGCTTTCTAGGACCTAATGTCAACACCAGGTCTTCCCAGTCCTTTCCTCCCCTCCAACCAGCACCCTCTCCCTCCTCCAGAACCAGTCAACAGTGACCCAGTGTCCCCCCCCACCACAGCCCCAGTGCCCCCAAGGTGATGATGGACAATGTATTCATGTGAGCAGGAGCCCAAAGGCACTAACAGGGCACGGAAGCAGCAGTACACTATAACTGCAGCTCCCTGTCTCAGCCTGTTTCTCCACGACCTGCAGACGTGCCTCAGCATTCAAGCACTGAAAAGGTCAGAGACTGACGGATGCTGGCAGATGGCTTCAGCAGCTCCCATCTCACTTCTTAATGTGATAGGACCACCGGGGAACATCCCAAACAGCACTACAGCCTGGTCCTTAGCAAGAAGAATTTGACAGGCAACTCCAACTCCATTTTGCTGCTGAGCCCTTGGCTGACAGAGTTGAAAGCAGTGCTCGTGCCAGCAGTCTTGCATTTCCAGCTCCCAGGGAAGCACCACCACACTTCTTCTCTCCACAGCCCTCTTTTCCATGTCTCTCCAGCAACTGAGAGAACAGCTGCAATCCCACAGGAAGTATTTGCCTGAGAACTGCCACCAAGCTCAGAAACACACTGCTCTACAGGACCTCCCCAAGTCATTCAAGCCACACCACTGTTGGGATCTGCAGCCAGGAAGACACAGCTCCAGAAACTCATTGGCAGCTCCCAGCCTCTTGCACTGCTGCTGCTCTCTCTGCCCTGCTCAGCCACCCTTGTACCACCACACCAGCTGCCGCAGAGACGGCAGCATGTGAGGCCTTCCAGGCTCTGTCCCAACATGAAACCTAATTCTTCAGTCCACAAATCCAACCCACGGCAGCATATCCTGCCCTAGAGGACACAGGGAGCAGCTGATTGCTGTCCCCATCTCCCAGGCACAGCATGCTGAGGGTGGTCATGGTTCTTGCTTTCCAGAAGGAACAAATTCACTTTTCAACCTCTCTCCTCAGCCAGCCCCACACTGCCTCCTGCTACCCTGGACTCTCCCCACAACTACCTCTAACACATTGGAAGAGCAGAGCCATAAACTCTCCACCTAGCAATGGCACAGCTGTACCAAGACAGATGCCATAGCCCTAGATCCTGTTTTTTGACAGCAGCTGATAACAGCTAGTGAAGGAAGGCTGTAAGAGCAGATAAGCTCACTGAGATAGTCGCTGTGCATTGCTCCCGCCCCCAGCTGCTGGAGCCAAGGCATTTCCTGGGTCTGAGGCAGTCCTTATAATTAATAGCCTGCAGCAGAGTCTTCTTCCATGAATGTGTCCTTTGAACTTTCAACATGGGTACTGTCCTGTGGAACAGTCCCATCTCACACCCAGGTGTGACACCACCTCCAATGACAAAGCCACATGCCTCCTTGCACCACCTGTATCAGAACTCGTGACTCCCAGCAGCACTCAGGCAGCTGGCTGCTCTGCCTGGCCCAGCTCCGTCACCACACGCCCAGCATCGCCCTCCTTGCTGACGCACGTCTTACACAGCCTCTTGGCTATTTCAGACTGTTTCCCCACAACTATCACAAGACTTTTGAATGCAAGCATGCTTTCCCACCTGCTCAATGCTCCCTGAAAGCTGTGTCAGTGTGCAGCTAATGCAACCCCACTGTGAAGGCCATCCAGCAAACCACCACTTGCCCTTGACCACCCCTCTCTGCCATCACCTGCAGCAGCTCCTCAGCCTCAACCCAGCTGCCTCCTTCTGCTCCCCCAAAACACTGCTGAATCAACAGGAAAAAAGGGATGTAATCCAGACAAACACACAGAAGGAACTTGTCCCCTTGCTGCTCACAGCTAGAAGTTAAATGAACTACCCAGTACCTTGCAGAGCACAAGTTGTCCAAGACACCTCTCATCAGGGACAGGGACACAGCCTTCCCTGACAAGGAATTCGCAAGCAATGTAAAGGAATCTGCGTGCCAGTGAGGTGCCAAAACTGTAGCAGTGAAACAGACAGGGCAATAAAACAGAAAGCAGGAGCAATGAGACTCTGGCACCCTGCCCAATCTGCTGCACACAGCAAGGAAGGCCGGACAGGGTGGGATTTGGCACTGGGGAGGGAGCAGGTGACTTGTTGGTCTCAGCCCCTGGTCTACTTCCAATCCCCTTGACTCAGCATTCCCATCTGGGGACACTTAGCAACCCCCCTGCCACAGGGCTGGAGAGATTATCCAAGCTGCAGTCTTTGTCCCAACCATAATACAGCCGCTTCCGCACCCTCTCACTCAGCTGCTGGTGCCTAGGCAGGAACTGCAAGCAGACACGGGGCACGTGAGAAAAGCCCTGAGCACTCCTCATATCAGGCTCTCCACCTCAATCCAGCTTGGAGGTACGACAGGCCCAGCACGGCCCCGAGAGCTCAGCCAGGGCCCGGGTGTGGGGTCACACGGCGCTTTCCGGGTCAGGCTTTAAGGAGGGAACAGCCCATGGGCCTGCGAAGCTGCGGGGCCAAGGACAGGCTGGGCCGGGGACACCAGGCACCACCAGG